TCGTTCGTTGCATTTGAGGCTGAGAAGTAAATCGTCATCATGCGCACTCCAATCATCATCCCAGTGTCGGATCGGGGGCGAGGAGAGGAGGGGAGAGGGGAAGGAGAGGGGGAGGAGGGGAAGGGGATGCAGGGGAGCGGCGCTTGCGTGGTCGAGAAGGAGCAGGAGGAGGGGAAGGGGGGGGGGCGGGGGGGCGAGGAGGGGGGGGGGGGGGAGGAGGAAGTGAAGGGGGGAAAGAAGGGGAGCGGGGGGAAGAGAGAGAGGGGGAGGAGAGGAGGCAAGATGGGAAGGAGGAGGAGAAGGAGAGAGAGAAGGAGAAGGAGGAGGGGGAGGGTGGACAAGGGAATGAGAAGTGAGGGGGGCGGAAGGGGGAAGGGGCAGGGTCTGATCGCTGGCGACGGTGGAGGAGCCCTGGTGTCGCACCGATGAAAAGGTGATCGTACCTCGTGGAGTCCACAGGGTGCCCAGGTAATAGAGGGGCAGGTGGTCGTCACACGTAATGATGAGGTCGGATTGGAAGGATCTCTTGATGGAACGAAAGGTGGTGAGCGACCTTGAGGTGAAAGTTCATCCGAAGGTTGGGTGATATTGGCCAGCAGGCGTAGGCTGGCGATCACGACGTTGAGGTGTGTCGCATAATGGTGGACATAATCTCCGAAGGAGTGGGATGTGGCATGACCAATGAAACCAAAATTTGAGCCGAAACACTGGGGAATGAGCAAGGAACGTAAGGTCCTATGTCCAACATTGTGAGAAGGGAAAAGAAATTAAAGTGGATAAAAGTCACGGGCCCTTTTATCACGAAGGGGTTCCAGCCGCTGCATCGTCAGAGAAAGTGAGAAACCGACATTGAGAGTGTAGCGACGACAAAGTTGAAGAAGTAGAGGAAGAAGTTGTCGCATCGTGAAGCCCTTGTCGAGGTATTGTTGAGTGAGGTCAATGAGTTGAGGGGAGATGAGGTCACGAGGTCGAGTCAATCGACATGTGAGAATGCCACGTGTGAAGAACCCGGCAAGAGCCATATGTGGGGAACCAGCGGCGCGATTGCTCCGAATCAACATCAAGTGGGGTGGTTGACGAAAGGTGAGAGTCCGTTGCAATGTGGAGATGGTAAAGCCCAAGAGAGTATCTTCGGAGACGAACTCCATTTCCAAAGGTCTGGGTCATCGGTAGGGAGTCGATCACGCGATCTGGAAGCTGCACCACGGTCACGTCGTCGCCGAGGACGATGCTGGGAGTCTTGTGACGACGCAGAGCTGGCCATCATGAAAACAGAAAGTGTCAACACAGTGAAAAAATAAAACATGCCAGAGTGAAGAGAATGTGAACTGAAGGTGAAAGTACTAAATCAACATGACATAAATGTCACACGTGCTGGAGCCGAAGGCAAGGGTATGTGAACATCAAAAGTGGTCACATCTGGGTAAAATGATCAATCGTGGGAAACATACACCGCAGATTTTCTATGCAGAAGCCGCTGGAAGATTGTGGTGAAACATGTGGTCTAGCGCGGGTTCAAACGCGGTTGAGACCGTGATCTCTGGGTACGGGTCCTGAAGGTGGATCTGCCACCTGATCTGGTAATCGAAGAAGAGGTCGTAATAGGTGGGGGAGAAATGTGGGGGGCAAATGTGAAGTGGGTTCTGCCCTCGAAAACCACGACGCCGTCAACAGTGGTAATCGTCGATGTAGTGGAAAGAGGTGGGCGATCTGCAAAGGCTGTTCGGCCCTGTAGTTCATCCTCAAGTTGTTCAGGGCTGTGATGTAGGATATGTAGTAGACCCAGGGCGGTGAGGAGTTCATGTGTGTAATGGATGGCAGTGTGGTTGACACGTAGTGCAAGCGTGAGGGTGTGGTCCAGACCCTGAAGCTGTGAGCGAAGATGTGGATGGGTAACCCGATCAAGGAGCGGAGGGGAACGAAGCGCAAGAGGTTGTTGAAGAAGAGTGTGAATATGAGCCAAAGAAGCATGTACATGAAGAAGTTCACGATGTAGAACCGCCTGCGCCACCATAGGGATGCCCTCCGTCGGAGCCAAGCCACAAGGAGGTCGGGTGAAGCCACGTAGAGGGGACCAGGTATGGGAGGGCGGTTGACTCATAGCGCAGTGTAAGGGCAATACAAACATGAAGTCTGGAGCCAAGGCGCATGCTGAAGAGTAGAAAAAGTGAATGGGTACATGGTAATCAATGCAAAAGGAGAGACATAGTACACTGTGTAAAACAGTCTTGAGACTGAGGACCGATGCCAGTGGATTTTGTGCAAAAAGGTTAAAGTAAGGTGAGACCAAGGTCTGATGCGGGCTCAGTCGTGGACGAGATCGAGAGCGTTCCCGTGGGCGATGAAGGACAGGTCCGGTGGTAGTAGGAAACGACGGGGGAAGACAGTATCAATCGGTCCAGAACCGGCTCCAAGTGGAGTAGTCGAAGAAGGCATATAGTTCGTCATCCGGGGGGGTGAACGTGCGGGCGAAGTTCTGGAAGTTTGAAGGGAAGCCGCGTAATTCGGCTGCCAACTCATCGGGGTCAAACCGGGTGATGTGCATCAATCCGAAGGTGGTCAACAACTCCTGGGTGTAGTGGAGGGTCATGTAGGCGGCATGCCGTGTTTGGATAAGACTGGTTTCCAAGCCTCGAAGTTGTACTTGAAGATGAGGACACGTAACAACGGGTGCACAATAGCCAGTGGGACACGAAGAACATGAAGGATAAGGTTTAAGGTGGCGTGTACATGAAGGATTTCCCGATGTAGTACTGCCTGAGCCGCCATAGGGATGCCTTCCACCGGTGCCAAGCCAGCAGGGAAGGGGGGCCGGGGGGGCATGTCACGCGAATTGGAATGCAACGAAACCGAATGGTGCATGGCGAGGTGGCACTGAGGATGAGACAATATCGCAAACCTGAAAACGAATGGATGGGAAACTAGGCTGGAGCCCAGGGAATCAAAGTAGGACCAGTAGGATTCAATGCAGTGAAACAAACAGTGATGTTGCACCAAAAGTCAAAGCTGTGGGAAACAACGGAAACGTTATTTTGAAACGCAGGCATGTCAACGAAATGGGTGAGACTATATGGAGCCCGCGGGTTCAGGCGTGAGCGAGAGCGAGAGCGGTCCAAGGTGCCGCTGAGGCCGGCGCGGGGATGAGGTCTTGTAGTAGTAGCAACCGTGATGCCGCGAGGTGATCGGGTAGTAGAGGTCGTCGTCCGCGACTGTGAGTCAGTGCGATGAAGAAAAGCCATGGAGAAGTCGTAGTCCGGTGTAGAGGAAGTTGCCGTCAAAGAGGATGGAGGACAAGTGTCCATGCGGGGAGGAGGTGGGGGGATGCGATGATCCCGAAAAGACGTAGTGCCACGTAGTTCAGCTTCCAATTGATTTGCGTCGAAATTCAAGGTGTGGATCAGCCCAAATGTAGTCATCAACTCATGAGTATAGTGGAGAGCAGTGTGGGTGGCTTGTGTGGCCTGTCGAATGGCGGAGTCCAGCCCGCGAAGTTGTACGTGAAGATGTGGGGAAGTGATTCGTTCCATGAATGGGGGTGAAAGGATTGCCAAGCGAGTGCGAAGAAGTGTGAGGATATGGTCCAAGAAGGCATGTACATGAAGGATCTCACGGTGTAGTACGGCCTGAGCCACCATAAGGATGCCCTCCGTCGGCGCCAAACCAGCGGGTGAGGGGGACGTGGCGGGAAATAGTGGGGAGGAACTCATCACTCTAAAATGCTAAGGCTCCAACAGGTTCCAATGAACCTGGAACAAACTTCGGTCGCTGCGACCACGTACGGCGTGCTGAGGGCGGCCAAATCTGACCGCTGCGGTCACGTAAAGGCATCAGCCAGCTTGGAATTTCAAAGATGAGACAAATTCAGAGTTCTCTCGGCCTAGGCCACCTGCTGTCCGCTCCGGACACCTACGTTCCCAAAGCGGGGGAACATGGACAAACCCGTTCGACGGGTCCACGGGAGGCACTCTACGGGCTCATCCTGGGCTGGCACGAAGCCAGACACACTTATGGATATGCGTACGGACTTGACAGCGGTGCCACACGCCGGCCTAGGGTACCATTTCCTAAGAGTACAAGTACGAACCACTGGATCCTGGAGGTCTTCAAGAGGAAGGGGGGCCAAAAACGCAAGATCGAAAGTGGCGAGCAGGTCGAAGTGACGATGGTCGTGCACATCTGCAGAACTCACTAGCCCTTTACCAGAAGATTGGAGTGAAAGCTTGTAAACGCCACAACCAAGCAGGTACGTGGATTCTGCGTCCAGAATCCATATCAGTGACTTGTAACAGCCTCTTCGTTGGACTGCCACTGTTACAAGCCAGGCAGCCCCCCTGCTGATCATAAAAGAAACCCATTCAAAAGAATCCCTGTGACTACAAGGGGCGCACACACACACCTCATGTTGCAGCGTTTCGCCATGTGGGCTGTATGGCCTGCACCTGCGCTCATCACTCACTGTAATGTCTGAATGTCTGAGATCTCTGTTGCGTCGATGCCTTCTGCGCCTTCTTCCAAGTTCCGACTGTCCTGGTGATCGAAACTTGGCGTATTCCGCCCTATCGTCTTTGCAAGAAAACATGGTAAGCCCGACTTGGACATCAAATATGTCAAACACAGAAACGTTCACCCGTTGGCCTCTCGTCGCGTCAAGCACGGCGACCCAGTTCATACCAAACACACACGGCATGCGTCATGTGTTTGCCCAACAGCCATATGCAAAACATACTGCATTTTCTTACGCATGCCCGTGCCAGGCATCAAGGGCGTGCTGTTTGAGGATTTGGCAAGCCGTGTGGGCCATGCTGTGTGTGTGTGTGTGTCACAGCTGCAGAGCGATCGCCAATCCGTGGAATCTTGTTCATTGGGCCCCCTTGCGTAGTTTAACCCTTCCGTCTATGCGGCGCATCAGGACCTATCTGACCAATGTTGGTTCCATCCTCTTCCTCTTTTCCTCTGAGCCGCGTGATGCTGCCGTGTGGCCTTCATCGATCCATCAGCTGTCACGCCTTCCATCGATGACCACAGGAGAGACCTTGTCAGAGAAGAAGCGGTGACGACCCAAACGAAGGACCCCAATGGATGGGAACCCCCATCCATCGGGGTCCAAGAGAAGTTGCTAACTCGGCGACCAGGTTTATCACGGTTTATCAGTTTATCATCGCAAGTACTTGGGCTGGGTGAAAAAATGTTTAAAAAGTTGATTGAGTGAAGTTTTTGAAAATAAAATGAAACACGATAAAACCAGATTTTTAATATGGTTGATTTCTTCATTTTAATCAACCATATCAAAATCAAAGCAGTCAAAGCATCATTACCTCATTCAATTTACAAAATCAAAGCAGTCAAAGCATCATTATCTTATTCAATTTATAAAATCAAAGCAGTCAAAGCATCATTACCTTATTCAATTTATAAAATCAAAGCAGTCAAAGCATCATTACCTTATTCATTTTATAAAATCAAAGCAGTCAAAGCACCATTACCTTATTCATTTTTATCAAATCCTATCTACTGACCATTGCCTAAATGTCTTTGATGCTTATTTGTTTTAAGATGTCTTGAGTAACATTGTTGCCTTATTGAACAATTACAAACAGAACAGGTAATGGTTTTTAGATTAAATTTATGGTTTTGTTCCAGTTTCTTTTTTCTATATTCTTCATCGTCTTCATATCTTTTTCTTTGTGCTTCATTTACTTTATCTCTATGTTTATCACGTTTGCTCTTTTATATTCTAAGCATTTTTTACAAGTTTTAAGCCCCTCTTCCAAATTATCAATAGGTAAATCTGTGACACAATATCTACAAAATCTCTCCATCAAAATATAAGATATCATTTTCTTAAATGTATTTCCTAAGAATTCTTATCGAACACTTCCCAGAAAAACAGAACAACAAACCAACAATACAAAGAACAGAACAGAAGACCTAAATACAAACAAATTCAAAGAACAAAAATATCATTCACATAAAAACTACTTAAAGATTAATTGACTTAATAAACATATATAGAGTATTATATAATAAAAAAGATTCAGATTATCTATTAAATAACGATTTAGCAGAAATTCCTAAGAGAGGAAGAAAAGAATTAAAGCAAATAATCATAGATGGTAGGAAATTTAGATACAATATATAAAGCAAAATAAATATCAAATGTCTTAAATAGAAAAACTTAAATCAATCAGAAATACAAACGAGTATAGGAGTTATGCCTTAAACAAAGCAAAGGATGCTTACACCCTTGGACGGGCAAAAGTATTATTAACAAGGAGGGCAATAAGAAATAAATTCAGAGTAAATGATGTCCAGTCAGCATTTAGAAACTATGCCAATTCCATAAAACTAGAAAATAAACACTTTCAAGGTGAGCGAGGATTGGAAATGATTGCTCACCAAAAATCACGATTAAGAGACTTCCTTAAAAAAAATAGAAATATGAAACTTAACATCAGAACGGAAGGTGTGTTTGAAAAACCTGAGTATGATGATGGAGGAAATAAAACTGCTACAAGCGAACACCTTTATCAACTACCAGCAACACGCTACAATGTTCATAACGAGGATGAGTTAAACCAAGCATTAGAAAATAGTGTTCAACAAATCTCATTGAAAATTCAAGATTTAGAAGGCACACAGTTCAATTTAGTATTTAAAAAGATTGTTTCAATAACTATTCATTTTGATAAGTATGACCCTACAAGAGCGGGGAGGTATATAGAACTACCAGAATGGATTAAACTTAAAAAGGCGTGTATCAACATAAAAAATAAAGACCAAAAATGTTTCAAATACTGTATTCAATGCATAGTCTTTGATAAAATCAGTAAAAATCATCCAGAAGAGATTTTCCACTACAACAAGTTAAATATGACAATATTTTGAATTGGAATGGTGTTAAATTTCCTACAGGGAATAGGGACATAGACCGGTTTGAAGAAAACAACAAGCAAGTTTCAATAAATGTGTTTGCAATAAATGTTTTTGAACCTGATGACTGCTTGAAGGACAACAAAATAGTTTTACATAGAGGAACTAAAAACAAAAATGCTAAATATGAAATTGATTTGTTACAGTAATTTTTTTGATGGTGACAATAATTGTCACTATGCTTTGGTAAAGAACAGATGTAGATTACTAAACTTTCAGAGTAGCAAAAACACAAATAAAAGGTTTACTGTCATCATCGCTTAAATCCATTCTCAACGGAAAAGGCATATAATAAGCATTTGGAAAAAGGTTGTATGGCATCAGAAGGACAGCAAACCAAAATGCCTAATAAAGGTAGTTATATAGAATTTGAAAAGCATAACACTAAATTACCATGTCCTTTTGTAATCTATGGAAATTTTGAATGTCCAACCACTAACTCCAACAATGGAATAAAAGGCACATATCAGGAACATAAACCGTGCGGTTATATGTTGAATGTAGTAAGCAGGATTGATAATATACATGCCAACCATACTTATACAGAGATGAGGATTGTATGAAAATGTTTGTAGAACAACTGACTGAAATTAAGAAAGATATGAAACGACGAATGTTAATAAACCAATGGAAATTACATACGAACAAGAATTAGACTTTAGAAAAGCAACTCACTGCTCAATACGTAACACCGGCGACAGTCTCGCCTGCCGGTTGTGGACGGAAAAGTTTTCAATTAGATGCAAGAATGAGGGAGCTTTCGGAAGCAATTGAGTCTCTGGGATTGCAGCCGACATCTCTCTACCATCACTCTGCAGCAGGGCATCACGCGCCGTAAGATAACACAGTGTGTGAGGAGCTACGGCCATACAGACCTCTGCAGGCGTCCAGAATCAAGCTCACCGGCACTGGCCAATGGCAATGTGAAGAACTGCTGTCAGATCTACTATATATGCGTTTTGTGGAGCCTGAAGTAAACCGCTTTGATGTGCATCCTCCTGCTGGAAGCTTCCCCAATGTTCTGGAGGGAGACCACCGACAGGTTGCCCAATTGTGCCATGTGTGGGACGCTAACAACCTGCTGTACCTGATTCCTACCTACCTCCTTGGGGCCGGCTCCAGACGAGTTGTTCCTCCACACAAGAGTGTTTGGCAACTACAAGAACTCCGACACCGACAGACAAATAGGAGACCGCCGGGGCAGGAACTATGTTGAGGGAGGTATCAGTGGAGGCCCTTCACATGAGACCCCAAATGCTACTACGCTCTTGCAGCTGGAGGTCAAGAGGCACGTGAGGTTCTTGTGGGATCAATCGCTGATAGACGTGACTTCTACCACCAGTTTGCCACTACCTATGAGCGCATAGCTACCAACACGGTGTGCCCCTCCTTCAAGCTTCAGGACTTCAAGGGCACCAAAGCTTATGAGAGGTTTGTGCGTGACTTTGATGTCAAGAAGAAAAGAGCAGGGAGAGAAGAAGCAGGCGACTTCCTGGGTAGCAGGGCGTCTCCGGATGAGCTGCAAGATGGACATGGGGTTCCTGAAGTGCTCGTAGTTCAAGGCCATGACAATCAAATGCATCAGCTTCTTGAAGGCCTTGACCCGTCCCTTCTTCTGGCTGCTCAAATCCGGGCCACTCCATACGATATCCACAAAGGGCATAGGAATGGGAAACAAGGCGGTCGCAACACTGTCATCTCGACCGTTGCGGCTGGCTGAAAGGGTTCTCAACATAACGTAAGAGAACCTTGTCTTGGCAGACAGGACCTGGCGTAGGAACATATGCACCCAGCTTTGACATGGGACTGGTGTCATCATCGCCATGGGAACATCCTGCCCAAAATTGATTGCATCTAATTCGACTTTGCCCTCATCCTCCTTTCCACTGCATGGGCCACTGCCAAGTGTAGACCCAGTAGGTACAGGAGCATGATCACCGGTTCTACTGACTTTGTATTCTTCTGGCATGCAGCCCTGTACTTCAAAAGGCACGCCATCACAGCTCTCAGAAGGGCACGCCCGCCCTTTCATACCTGTCAGGCATTGCACCCCGGACCAGGAAGAAGCCCGAACATCCTCCGTTCCCCTCCCCAAGTGCCTCCGACCGCTGTAAGCAGCAAGCTGCTCTGAGGTAGAAGAACTCGGCAAAAGGTCACAAGGAGAGGTACCAGGAGGGGATGGGGGGGCTAGGTAGCAGTGTTGTCCTGCCCCTGGGCTGCCTATAGGAGGATTTGTCTTCTGCTGGGTTCCCTGAGCTCCCGCCTTCGGGTGAGTCACCTCCTGCCGCTTGGTCTGGATATAATCCATCTCTTTGGAATACGCCAAGGCAACTGTGGTCCACTGCTGAGGTGCCAGCGCTGAAAAACTCTTTGACCTTGGATCGAAGCTCTGGTTTCGATACCCCCAAAGCTGTGAAGGAGGCTCTTCTGGCAACATCATCCGATAGGCCAGCTCCCAGCGGTTGCCATCCAAGTTGGCTTGATCCACTCCGACCATCAGCAATGCTAGATAGTCTCGAGCCCCATTGAGGTCCGAATGGACAAGCGCATCGCAGATGTGTGCAAGCGCATACTGGATCAACCCCAGTTCTTTGTATTGACCGTAACCTCCGAAGCGTTCCAGGAAATGAATCATGGAAAAATCCGTGGAGGCAATCTCCTCGATGGTGTTGGGCTTCGGAGATGCAGGCTTCAGCCTCTTCGCAGCATTTTGCAGGACAGCAAGACAGAAATTGCCAGCTGAGCCAATTCTCTTTGCAGCTTTTCTCTGCCAACCGAGCCTCTGGTGCCTAAGGAGCCGCTCGATGAGGACGGCTGCCCGTCTAGAAGTGGATCTCCTCCCTGCTGCATATGCGCAACCAAAGTCATCAACGCTCTGCTCTGCTCCAACATGGCCTTCGCAAAGGGATCTGCATGAGCAACAGGGGCTTCCTCTGCATAGGTCCTGGGAGGCACGTTTCCATCGAGCCCAGAAGTAATGGTAGCCTGAGCTGCTGCAGGATGAGGTAACGGCCTGGTCTTGGGAGGCTGACCCATCATCTTTGCAAAGCTTGATACATCTTGAACAGCGGCAGACACGGGCATCTGGCTGGCCCTTGGAGGAGGCGACCTCTTGTGCTACTCCAGCGACTCGTGAAGGGCTGTCTGGCCCTTCTGAAGCTCCGAGATCTGATCCACCATTGAAGGGATGATTTCCATAAGAACTGCTCTGAAAGTGCAGCCGTGGTCACTCTCTTCTTCGGGGGATCCCTGGGTTTTGCCCGGGCTGGATCTACGTCCGGGCTGATCCCTCTGGCTGCTAGTTCCTCCCTGGAGGGGAGCGGTGCCGCCACCACAGGCTCCTCCAAATGCTCTTCTCCTTCTTCCGTGGAGTAGAAGGCAACCCGTTGACCTGCCTGCTAATCCAGCTCTTGATGCCATCGACCAGCACATAGGGATCTGGAATCACATCCAAGTCTTCCCCAAAGCCCATCAGACCCTGATCCTCTGACTCTGGAACCAGGGACAACGGAGTAATGGCCTGAAGAGCTTCTTGGCCAAGATCGACCACATTCAAGGAGATGTCGACTCCTATACGGTCCACGCCTGCGTTTGACATTCTGACTGCAGGGACCTCCAACTGAACATGAGGCCCCACCTCAGCTGCTGGCATTGCAACTAACACTCCTCCTCCTGCTGCCTGCCTCACCATAGCAATCATGCATAGACCGGGCCGAGCCTGGACCATATCGGGATCCGGTGGCCAGTAAATTCTGAAGGGCTCCACATTCTCCTCGACCAACGGAACCACTGCATTCAGCTCCATTGATACACCTTCTCAGGATAGGGGATGTTGAGCCCCAAGCAATAGACCCGGACCTCACCCTTCGATGCAAAGCCGTGGGACAGGCTACCTGCCTCACTGCAGTCACCAAGCAGTGCCCCCTTGGCACGGACCACCACGTAGGTCGTGTTCGCCACGTCACAGGGGGATGATGGACGGGGCTTTGCAATCTTGCCCTCAAGCACAAATCGGGCCCACACTCCGGCGGACCAGGCACGCTCAGCGCGCTGTTTGAAAGATAGCTTGCCCCCTCGCAGGTTGCCACAAAGACGGAGAGCTTCAGTAGGCAACTCAGGAATTTCCAAAGCCAGGGCGTTGTAGGCTGAGGAGTTGGATGAGGTCCTCGACAAACCGGGGCCAGGGTTGGCTGATGTGACCAGCTCAAAGTCCTCAAAGGAGCCGTGGTTGCCACCCTTCTCTAATTCCTCCACCTTCTTCTCCAAGACGTCCACCCGTATCAGCAGCTGTTGGACCTGAAGCTTGAGCAGTTCCACAGCTGTCTCACTCATATAAGTAGGCTCGGATCCTGTGGGATCCGGAAGGAGGACCAGGCGACGGCCTGGGAGATGAAGAACTCGCAGAGGAGTTCAACAGGAGATGGAGGAGCCCAAAGCGGAGGGCCACCAAGAAAGCGAGGCCACAGCCAAGAAATAGCCCAAATCCAAGGCCAGAGCAAAAGGCCAACGAGATGCTGGCGAGTGAAGGTGGCCCACAGTGGGATGGGCAAGACAGGCCCCACCAATTGCTCTGAACTCCAAGCCTCAAGAAGTCGAGCACGGACGACAGAGACACCGGCGCGGGCATAAGTCTTGAGCAGCAGGCGAAAGGCAACAGTCAATCTCTTACATGTCAAGGTAATGATGCTTTGACTGCTTTGATTTTGTAAGTTGAATAAGGTAATGATGTTTTGACTGCTTTGATTTTGTAAATTGAATGAGGTAATGATGCTTTGA